ACTAGACAGCGGTTCCCGGTTGAACCGGTCGGTCCAATTCAATTTTCAAAACACTGATTCCTTGAGTCTCACATGTTTGATCATATAAAATTTGACCCATTTTAAGCAACAGGTATAAAATAATTCATTTTTAATTAAATTTTTATTTTATATCGACTCAAAACGAATTGGGTTTATACTTTAGATATTTAGATTTGATAAAGTTTGGATATAGAAAATATATCTTTTAGATCGGGTCAGATGGGGAATATACAATTTTTTTAATTGAATCACATATTGAGATGGATGATATATACTTTTAGGTCAGGTTTGATTGACAAAAAACTTGACTTAACCCGATCAGTTGTGGTACTCTCAACCATTTAACAATGAACGTCTAATTACCTTGATACAATTACTAGTGTTTGAACTCATAACCTGTAAAAACGAAAATAATTCTTTTAATAATTGAGATAAATTATTTCGTGTAATTTCTATTTACATCTTAAAAATTTGTTTAAAAATTTTAAACAATTATAAATTTGGAAAATATTTAAAGTAATTGTCAAAGTCTAAACGCATTATTAACTGAAAGTGGACTAAAAATAATCCTATTTAATCATAGAAAATCTAATTTGCCCCACCGACCGAAGAAAATAAGATAAATGCTGCATTGAACGTCAGGTTACCACCGCATTAAGATGGCGTTACCTCTAAAACACTCTTCAGTCGTCAGCCGTCAGCCGTCGGTCGACAGCCCTCAGTCATCGATTGTCAGTTTCGGTCTTTTTTCAATCAGTCGTGTTTACAATTAATATTTAACTCAGCATTTTATTACATCAAATACTTTACAAAATCAATGCGATAATGCGTTGATTTTTTTTTCACGAGATACTGTTTTTATCAGATTAATTACTCAGATGGAGTGATATCTATAATTTTCATGTAGGTCGTCAGGTGCTCCGGGCAACGTTCCTATGATGAGATGGGTAGGTCGTCATACATGTCCAGCGACCTACCAGGTTACCATGCAGTCCCCAAAGATCGCCATGCAATCCAGAATAGATCTGACTTTGTTTTTATAGATCCCATACATCATCTTGTTAATCCTAATAATCATTGTTATGTTGTAATTTGTCTGAATATAATATAAACATTTGATTAGTAGCATTTACTTGTTATTGTTCAGTTCTTTCTTTTCTTTGAGCTATTTCCTTAATATATTTTGTTTAGGTTGTTGCTTAATATATTTACAGTGAGCTAGCGGATGGGGGAATTGGCCAGGAGACTGCATGGCGACCTGGTAGGTCGTTGGGTGTGCATGGCGACTTACCTCATCTCACGGGAACATCGCCCGGAGAACCTGACGACCTATATGGAAACTCTAGAAATCACCTCATCTGAACAATTAATCTGACAAGAGTACTATCTAGTGAAAAAAAAAATCAGCGTACTATCTCGTTGATTTTACCCTAAATACCCCAAGTTAAATAATATTTAATTCAACATTAAGTTGGCGTTAGCTCTAAAACACTCCTCTTCACAACTTTTGTATCATTTTATAATGTAATTTATTTTAACTCTGAAATTTAAAAATTATTTAAATTTATCGAATTAAATTATATATAAGTTCAAATTAATTAAATCAAAATTTCAAATTTTGATGATTTTAACCGGGTTTAATTACACTTAAATTATCAATATGAAGTTTAAACCATATAAATATCATTTTAAAAGTGTTTGTTAGTAGTAGATTTAACTAAATAATTAAGTGTTCTATCACTTCCAATGATGAATAGAACGAAGGGCTTTTAACAAAAGAGAAAAGTTGAGGGTAAATTATGCTACAAGTCATTAATAAAAACTAAGGGTAAATTATGCTAGAAGTCATTAATAATGTTTAAATAATTGTTTAGATTATTAAATTAGTTTTTAAAAATTATAAATTTTTTTAATTTCTTATATTTATTAGAATATCATGATAATTAATTTATAATAATTTAGTAAATTTGATAACTATGTCGTAACTGATAAAGAAAATAATCACAAAGATAACTCATAATTCAAAAGTAAAAGAAAAAGGAAAATATGAAAGGACACGTGGCCCATCATTTGGATAAGTAAAAATGGACTAATAGATGTAGCTTTCCAAATAAGAGAAATGATCATGTGCGGTAATTTTAATATATGATTAAAAAAATGTCATTTGTTTTGTTATTATTTAAATAATAAAATCGGTAAAAAATATCGAAAATATTATTATTTCTATTGATTTTGTTATTATTGGACGTTTTATCGATTTTATTATTTTTTTTTATCGATTTTGTTATTGTTTGATACTTTATCAGAAATATTAAAAAAATATTGATGTTTTAGATAAAAATAATAATGTTTTAGATAAATTTTTATTATTTTATTATTTAAATAATAATAAAACCAATTAATTTTTTTTAAAAGTTTTATATTAAAGGTGTTGCAGTAAATTGAGCGTATCAAACTATGAATAATAAACTTGGCGCTATCTGTTTGTTTGGGGTGCGCAAAACTAAGGGTTTATGTTCATGATAGGGTCCATGAAATTGATGATGAATCTTGATGTTTTTGAAGTTGTAGATTCATTTTCAAGCTTGATTTATGGTTAAAAGATGTTCAATCATTCTAGAGATTATTATGTAAAATTCAGCCAAATTATAAGTTGGAGAACTTTGTGTTCTGATGAGAGTTGATTAGGGATTTGATTGTAGAGATGTTAAAAGGTTGATTTCATGCTTGAATCGAATCAAAATCGAGCAAAATCATAAAAACATAGTTTTAAAGAATAAAGTATTCGATCATGATGTATCTAAGTGATAAAATGGTGAAGAACTATTTTAAGTAATTGGAAAAGTTGGTACTAATGGTAAAAGGAATTATTAAGTGTTAAATATTTGGTAGGAAATGAGTTCTAAGTATATTATGGAGTTGTTATGGGATGTGTTTGTGTTAGTACAATACTAACATATGTATCGTTATAAATTTGTGATTAATACAAATTGTGATTGATTTGTGATCGAAGCAAGTCAAATAGAAAAGGGTTTAATGTGGACAATTAGTGAGGCATATATTGTGGATTATATAAAGTGTCAAGGTGAGTGCAATATATGCATGACATTATACATGGATGTTTTATACATCATCAAGAAGACTTGCGATAAGTCGACATTGTTTATATCAACATGATATTATGTCATTTTTATAACTTCAATGTGACATTGATATGTCATGGTGTGAAATTTTAATGCATTGATTATGAATAATGTGATATTTTACCATGAAAATTATTTCGAGCATGAATTGACCAATGTTAAATATTGATAATATACTTTGCCATTGATGGATCAAATAAAATAGACTGTATACCCAAATAAATCATTGAGGGACAGGGTATAGTTGACATGTCATAGAGTCCAGCAGCAGGCTGCATATTGGATACACTAAAGGATACATAGTGTATATGGTGGGCACGATCTTATGTGTCATATGGTACTGTACTTAAGGATACCTAATACAGATGCTGGACACGACCTTATGTGTCATACAAGTTAGCACTACGGTGTTTATATTTGACTCGTGTACCCAGAGTCTTCAGGGTTTTATATTAGGCTATGGGCTATGGATTATTGTTTATTGGTTAATAAATGGTAACCATGCAAATAAGCTTAAGAGCTTATGAGATTAAATGATAAGTATATTTGTAAAATAAGCTTACGAGCTTATGGGATAAATGGTAAGAAATTTATTATTATTTTGATCATGGTAATATATTGGACATGTATGTAGCATGATCTTATAACATTTGTTTTTTACAATGAAATTCATGCATGAATTATATTGCACTGTTTATTGTTTTAATTGTCTTACTAAGTATATATACTTAGCGTGTGATGATTTTCACGCGTATGTAAAAAGTCAATAGTGGAATAAAAAGTTCAAAGCGACATCAAGCATCGAGGAGTATATTTCAATATCAGTAAGACATCCTAAGATGTAATGTTGACTTTATTAGTGGTATGTAATTATTAATGTTCTATTTGTTTTGTTGAACAAATTTGGAAACAAAATGGTAACTTTATAATGATGAAATGTTAAATTTTTATGAGTTTTATATATTTTGCAGAAATTACTGTAGTCGTTACTATAGCAGTGAATAGTGATGAACAGTACTGATGTTAAAAATTTTCAGAATACTAAAAGGTTATCGATATCCTCCTACAGTGTACTGATACCCTCATTGTTCACTGTTCACGGTACTATTCATAAAAAATCTTTTGCCTTAAATTTGTAAAAAATGAAACATAATTCATATGATATGATGTTTTTATAATATTATTTACCATTTTAAGAAAATAAATTTTAAATCATTTTTGAATTAAAAATGATTTTTGAAATTTAGGTGACATCTATAACCTGTATATGTATAATTATACGAATTATGAGTGTTATAATCCGGGTTGGGATACAGACCGAAAAATCACCGATCTGAATATTACGGGTACCGGTTCGGGTACCCGGATTTGAACAAAAAAAACTGTCTACTCTACTCTACCCTTCCAGGGAAAAAACCAGAAAACGCAACCATCAGGACAACAAAATCCTTGTCACCAACCACTCCTCCCTCTTGCTTCTCTGCCACGCCGATCAACCTTTGCTTTCTTTTTGTTTTGATCAAATTCGAAATCTAAATTCCTTCTCTCTCTCAAATAACAGATCCTTCGTTTATTTCTTCTTCTATGATTTATGCTGTCAAGATCTTAACACAGAAATGCAGCACCGAGTAGAAGCTTCCTCCAGACCTCGAAGCTCCGCTTATCTCAACGCGCTCTCACTAGAAATCCAGAAAAAGCTTAAGCGGGTTCGTTTTCTCGTATCCTTTTCCGCTTCCCTGTTTGTTTATCGCGAAAATGTGTGGAACGACAAAACGATTTTAGCTTCTTATTTTATTTCTTTCTTTCATTTTCAAAGATTTTTTTCTGAAAGCGGAAATGATTACGTGTACGCTTATATTTTTCGGCGATGTTGAGTTCGACTGGCGTCCGCAAAGTATATTATTCTTAATACTGCTCATGACTTGATTAAAAATAATAATAAAAGCGGTTTTCCTCTTCTTCATTTTTTCTCTTTTGCTTATTTTTTGGTACTGTTTAGAGCCTTTAGAGAATTGTTAGAAGAATTATTTGCAGATATAGCTTTAGAAATTGATGAGCGAGCCAGCTTAAATTCGTCATCTCTCCCTTTTTACAATTTACATCAAATTAAGTTTAAACTATTTGGAGGATTTCTCATATTGTTTTGCATTGAAATTGTAAACAGATATAATATTGAGTTGAGAAGACCAAATATCTTCCGCGGCTAACGGCGTTAATGGTCGGTTGTACTTTTATGATGTTCTTGCCGATTATTATGTTCGAGTACCCGTTCGTGGAAAGCCTATCATTGATTTGATTGTTCAACTGTGGAGCCAGTCATTTGCATCTCACATTTTTGCCCTGCTATTCCATAATTGGGTAAGCAAACTCATCATAACTCATAAGTTCAAAGTTCTTTCGCCATTCCAATTTGAAGTTTAGATCATCATATGAATCATTTCTGAACTGCACGGCTTTCCTGATTTCCAAATTGATGGATCATTTAATGGAACTCAAGTTTCCTGAAAGATTGCTTTTATGATGGTAGTTTTTGTGAAGGGTATTTGTTTGGCTGTTGCTGCTGTTTAATTATTGTGCTGTTAAGTGAACAAATAGTTGGTACTGATTGTTCCGCTATGTAGTAATTTTGAGTGTTCCGAACTGGTTAAAGAAAAAAAGTAAGAAACAGATCTGACAAGCTGCAAACACTTTTTCTGGTCAAGAAAAATTTACTCTTAACTTCTACATTGTTCTCACTTTTATTTTGGTTTTATTCCCTATTTAAGCGCAGTTTCCATTTACAGTCTCTAAGTATCATTGGAGATTTGACTAGTGATACAGAGTTGCAGAAATCAAGGTTCTCTGGATGAAACTGGCCACTAAAGTCTAAAAGAGTGGTTATGGCCTTTTGTTACATTTTTCATGTGACAGTGCTCAGTAGTAGATAACGATTATTCAGATATCTTAGAGCATTAGAGACTGAACAAATGTTTTCACCAGTGAAGGATCTTGATTTTTTTTGGTGAAGTCCTTTATATTGAACTGTAAATGATTTGCATTTTCTTCTGTCTGCAGTTATTTGAAGTTCAACTGGATGATGCAGATGTTCAGCTTCGTTATGCTTCTGCACTTGTTCAGGGTGCAGCAAATGTTTTCTGGTAGGAAATTAAATTTATAATGCTTGAGTGGGAATTTTCTTTTGTCCAGTTTCAACCTAGTTTCCAACTATTTTTTCTTGAAATATCCTAGTCCAACTCATATCTTAACACGAGTGGGATATAACGTTTCAAAGATCCTCAAAATACGGAACATGCTCACCTTTAGCTTTTGAAGTAGCCATTATCATATAGGGTCATGCATGATGAAAATAGTGGCACAACTCTTTGCCTGATTATGTCCTATAGGTTCGATTAATTTTATGGTTTTATGCAGGATTGATATCCAATCAAATACGAGGTGTTTCCAGTCTCTCTATTGGGTAAACTTAAATGACACATCATCATTTGAAATGAATTCTTGCTTTTATCATTCTTTTTGAAGTATCTAATTGTTGAATTTTCTTTCATCTATGGACTCAGTACCTTCTCAATGAAGTTGCATTGGAGCCTACAAGGTTAAATAAAATTCCAATACAGGTCAGCTATTTTCGCTTTATAGTTTATACCCTTCATATTTTTGTCATTTACCTTCAAAAATGTGTTGTAAATTTCAGGCCTAGAGGGATCTGTACCTTTTCATGTCAAGGGTCATATTCTTTTACAACCCAGGTTGGGTTTGTCCTTTTTCCCTTTGAAACCTTGATTTTGAACAATAATGTACATATAAATGGATATTCCTTTTATGATGTTTTACTCTATGCGGTTGAAAAACTCAAAAGCTTCATAAAGCTATGTCCCACATTTCCAAATGCTTCAATGGTTGGTGGACCAGCAGATATACTAATTATTGAACTAGCAGACCAGGTGATCTTACATGATATTTTCATATTGGATTCTACAAATTGTAATGTCTTGTTTTGTAGTTGACATTAATGATAATTTTCACGCGCCAGCTTCAAAAATTGAAAGTGGAGCCTGTCGTACTGCATGATCTTGGTCAAATTAAAGTTCTTCGAGGTATTACTATCAACCCCTTCTAGAGTTAGAGTTGTATGTGCCATGGCCCGCATGTGCACTTTAGCGGAGCTTACGTCTCGACACGTGACACATGCAGCTGCTTGAAAATGAAGTTGAATGATTCACTATTCCCGCAGGTATGGAACTGAGGATTGCAACAAGTACGAGGCTGAAAACCTGTTTATATAGCTTTACATCCCCTGGTGGTCCCATGTATCCTACAAGTGCTGTGCGTCATGCAGCTCGGGATGCCCTAGATTTGCTTTTTCCTGTGAGTACACGACTTATAACTGCATATAACAATCGATTCAATATCGTTCAAGGCTAATTGGACTTAATTTGATTTTAAAATCGTTTGAAGTTCATTTAAAATTATTCTTTTGTTAAATGGAAGGTAATCAATCCTAGCTGATTGGATGGTTTGGGCCTATTGTGTTTCGTGTAACTCATTATGGATGATTGAACTTCGCTGGTTGGACGACACCCTCGACACCTTATAAGTTTGTTCTTTAGACTATTATATCCCAGGTATTGGCCTTCTTCATGTTGGTACTTCATAACCTATTATATCAATGTTTTGTTGTATTGCGTGTTGAGGTTTATCTTTTCTAGTTGGGGGAAGCTTAGAAAGCCGAAAAGGGCCCAACCATCGCCCAGATGACAAACACGATTGGGTAATATTAACATATTATGCATTAACTGATTGATTTCATGGGTTATGAATTAAGATCATGTTCATTAGTTTCAGTTAAGTAAATCATCATTCATGTATCAAATTCACTTATAGCTTATGTAATTTACATTGAAAAATTGATAAAAATGGAACACCGAGAAGCTTTAACCCGATCCCAGCCTTATATATACATTGGTTTAGCCTATTTCTATCCATACTTGGAGTCTGATGCTCGTGGAAGAAAGTGCGTCACGAAAGTATTTTCTTCTAAAAATAAAGAAAATACATAAAATGACGTTATTCAATGGCTTTTAACAAATTTTTTATTAGTCATTTGCAAGAATTTTTTGTGAATTTCTTTTGGAAAACATAGTACTATCCCCCCGTTAAACAAGTGATAATTTTTCTTCGAAAATGATCATTTATTGAATTTTAGAAACGTGATTTAGTTTAAACAATATGCTACGAAAATGATCTTTTTGCCACACGTGCAAAACGTGTTACCCCAAACGTGTCTTTAACTCGATTTCGATTTTAAAAAAGGTGTTAGTTTGATAAATATTAGGAAAAAAAGTATCAAAATGATGTTTTTTTAATTATTTGGATGATTTTGGAATAAAATTGCCAAGTGTGGAACGTCCATTTCAAATTTAATGCACAAAACCGAATAGTTTGGCAAACAAATTCAAATTCTGCTCATTCAACAAACCATCCAAATTCAGTTCATTCAAATATTACTTTTAGTTCTATTCAAAAAAAATATTAATTTTAGTTGGTAGAGTAAGCTAAAATGTTGGATACTTAAAAAAGCTTAAAAATCTAATATATAGGGTAAGGGTTAAATACACAAATGACCCCCTAACTAGGATGTTGCTTTATTGAGTCTCTCAACTATTAAAAATTATAAAATGATCCCCAAACTATAAGATGTTATTTTATTGAGTCCATCGACTATTAAAAGTTACAAAATGGTCATTCGATTAATCATTGTGTTTCAAACTTGTCATTTTATATTAAAAAAATGATGATAATTTGAGCTAGTCGTTAACCTACTGATTGAGATATGATAGATGTTTGAGATTCTATGATCAAATTTTATCATATCTCAGCCAACATGTTAATGTTCAATTTAAACTGTCATCATTTTTTAACAAAAAAGGTTGAGTTTGGGACACAATAAATAATGAAATGACTGTTTTATAACTTTTAATAGTCGAAACTCAACAAAACAAATGTTCTTGAATTTTTGAATTCTAATGGTTGAAAAGATTTCATAATATTTTAAATACATGCTTACTGCTATTGAAATGTTACATTATTTTTAATAATGTATATACAAGTAAAATTATAACATTTTAAATATATTAAAATATTACAATTTTTAACAAATTGATATATTTAGATAATATTTGTTATATTATATTATATTTTTATCTCTATATTTTTTTCGTAGAATTATTTTTGTTTAAGGCTGTAAATGAGACAAAACAAATCTAGAGTTATTCGATTTTGACTTAGTCAAAATTCCATCAACACTCGAATCAAATGAAACACTATAAAACTTTCACGTAGTTAAGGTTGAAGTTCAAACTTTAGTTTGAGCTTAAACCAACATTGAGTTTGAGTTTCAATCGAGCTAAGTTTGAGAATGTTTCAAGTTCAAATTTTTTTAAGCTTAAGTTTTATTTTTTTTTTTATTCCGAATCTAGCTTAAAAATTTTAAATTTGCGAACTTTCAAGTCTAGTCGAACTGAGCACTACTCAAGCTAGACTCAACTTGTTTACAACCATAATTCTTGCCATAGCCATAAACATGTCTAATAATTTCTTTTTAGGGTAAAGTATACAAATGGTCCTCGAGTATAAGACATTGTTATGTTGAGCCTTTGATTATTAAAAGTTAGAAAACGATACATCGACTATAAAAAGTTATAAAATGGTCACTTGACTATTCATATGTTCCAAACTTATCCTTTTGCATTAAAAAGTTGATGGTTGTCTAAGCTGAACGTTAACATGTTGACCATGATTTGATAAAATCATGTTTTAATGATGTCCACTAGTACTGTCGTTACTTTCAAGTACTAGCTCACCGACATAATATTTCGAGCATTGGTTTGATGATATAATGTAAACGAAAATTCGATCCATAAATACAACTCAAACGGTTGTTGAATCATATTTTATCATCTCAGTAAACAAATTAATGTCCATCTTAGACGATCACCAAATTTTAATGAAAAAAACGAGTTTGGAACATATGAATATTAAGATGACCCAACAAAGTAATATTATATAATTAGGGGATCATTTTGTAACTTTTATTAGTCAAGAGACTCAACAAAGTAACACCCTATGGTCGAGGACCATTTGTGTACTTTACCCTTCTTTTTAATATGTTATATAAATGTTTTCATTAATAATGTAAAGTTGTGGTTATAGTTTATTGGTAAGAATTTTACTTTGGGGCCATGGAGGCCTGAGCTCGAATCTCAGCAGTCACAAAGCTCTTTACTAAGGTTTCAATTTTTAGTTTTTTTCTATTTTATCGGTGCTAATAAGGCCCTGGTCTTTCAATTACGGCTTGATTTGCTGACTATAAGGATTTTCCCCCCTATTTTATCGGTGCTAATAAGGCCCTGGTCTTTCAATTACGGCTTGATTTGCTGACTATAAGGATTTTCCCCCCTATTTTATCGGTGCTAATAAGGCCCTGGTCTTTCAATTACGGCTTGATTTGCTGACTATAAGGATTTTCCCCCCTATTTTATCGGTGCTAATAAGGCCATGGTCTTTCAATTACGGCTTGATTTGCCGACTATAAGGATTTTTTTCTTTCTATTTTATAGGTGCTAATAAGGCTCTGGTCTTTCAATTGCGGCTTGATTTGCTGTGATGGAGTATGTTTAGTGGTAGGGTAAGTTTGTTGAGTGGAGTAGGTAAAATACCTAATTTTTTGTATTTATTTTTTTTAGTGTCATTTAAAAATAGATAGTGTATTTGGTTGGATTTTGGCTGATTTGGGTGCTATTTGCAGGTGCTGTTTGACAGGTTAATGACTATGGTCCGGACAAAACGAGCATCTACACCAAACGAACATAAAGCCAGTTGTTTATTTGTTCTGATCCAAATTTAGATGATATAAACCTACTAATAACATCTAACAACAGACAAATGACATTGTACAAGGACACTGCAATGTATATCTACCGCATATTATATATTTCAATGCATTACATGGGGGTAGAGAAGCACCACTAGGCGCTAGCATCATCGTAACATTTCTTGTGACCCTCTGATGCAGCGGCCGACACTCCTCTTGTATTCATCTCTTCTTTCTCTCCACTCCTTCGGTGCATATATGCACCAAAGTGTTGATCGTGAACACAAAGAATCATTTGAATCTTTGGCCACTCAAAAAAACATCTTTAAATTCATTAATACAAAGTTCACATATGAAATTCTATGATCAAATGCAGCAAATTACCGTAGACCCAACCAATTATTGTTTAATGGGGCTCGACTATTCCAACACAATGTGTTCCGGCTTTAATGCTGTTGAAATCCTATTAAACTCCTCCTCCCGAATATAATCGACTTTATTGATCGAAACTTTGGCCACCGTCATGAAACTGGAAACAGCTACGCCGTGGCGTTTGGCCATATCAAAGGCAAACATTGCAATCCTCGGACTCGAGAAGTCACGAACACCGGTGTCCACGTTGAGGCCAGCAAGCTCGTTGGAGACGAACATTACACTGCAGCCGGAAAACAAAAAGGCTAACGGAATGGAGAAGGAAGTCACAAATTCCGGGGTGAAGATTTCATCGACCAGAAACTCAGCGCCGTAGGCTTTAACGAGAAGCTGATAGCATAATTCGATACGTAACTGGATCATGGCGTCGTCGGTGGCAGTGGGATATACATTGTTTGCTTCATAGAATTTCAATGAGCAGCGCACTGTTGAGTTTGACGCCATCTGTACCATGCACAGCCGTTACTCTTGCTTGAATCGTCGGAGTTTCTGTCGATATAAATCCCACTACTAATATTTGAAAGAAGAAAAAAAGGGAGAAACTTATGAAAAGTCAAAAATTTCAGCTTACAATGGTCAAAATTTTCAGCTTACAATAGTCCAATTCTGCTACAAATTAGATTTTCAGAATTGGTAGCTGATTTTTGGTTGAAAAAGTGAAATAAGAAAATTGTTTGTTTAGTTTATGTACTTTAGGATATTTATAAGATTAATCCTTAAGCTTCAACTATAAATATACTAATCCATTTAGCTTTAAAATCATCAAAATCATTCTAGTTTTCTCCCAATACTATAGAATTTAGAGAGTTTTATTGAGAGTTATTTTCTCATTTTTATCAAGAGAGAATTGTCATTGTTTTCTCCTTGTTAAATCGATAGAAGTTGTAATTCCTATTTTCTTATAGTAAAATTCTTCTACCTTTGCTCGTTGTTTTTACTCTATATTATTTAGGGGAATTCTACGTAAAATTTGTTTCTTCCTTATCTTCATTTTTTATTTTCTTAAAGTATTAGTTACGATTTTACTCTATTCGATAGTCGTATTCCACAACAGAAACCGCCTAAATATTTTAGCATCATAGTTTTGGGTGTTTATAAAAGGTGGGGTTTTCAAGTAGATCTACTATAGATATTTTTATTCCAAAAATTATGTTACATATAAGGACAAAGAACCCCCAACGTTTCAAAGAAAGACCTTCTTTTTAGTAGAAGCGGTTAATATTATTAAAAAGTATAAATATTTAAGATTATAATAAATTTTATATTTTGATTTAAATTATATTTGGTGATTAAATTAAATTTTATTATAATTATAGTGGTTAAAGATTACTTGGCAATTATGTTTATTTAGTAGAGTAATTATTTATTTTAGTAAAAAATTCTTATTTTCTTATGAAATAAGAATTCTTGGTTACTAAGTATATTTAATTCTAAAAATAAAAATTATGTCTTAGACTTTAGAATGATGAGAGAGAATTGCTTTGGAGAAATGCAATCTTTTTTTTAGATCTCTATAACATTTTAAGTTTATGTTGCAGAGATAATTTTATAGAGATGTGAAGAGTATTTTGAGATATACCGGTTTTGGGTATCTATGTTGGGTTTTAGGATACATGCAATATCATGTATTTTATTATTCGTGTTCTTTATATTTATAGTGGATTATTATTTATCTCGCCCGTTTAGGTAAGCAAGGTCGAACCACGTTAAATCATGTCTCTTGTAAATATCTTATTTTATGTTAATATTGCTTTGATTGTTTTTTTGCTCTCAAATTTGTAGTAATAAGGGTTTATAATTATCATCGTAAACTAAATACATAATTTAGACATTTTCTTGTAACAATGAAACTAGTTACTTTAGATCATATAAGACTATATATGGAAAATGTTAAAAACTTAACTAAAAACTTGAACATAAAATAGATACGAAGAAATTTGACTGCACCACCAAATGAACCACAAAAGGGATTAAATTAATGAAAAACCATCAAAAACTACAAATTAGAGTTGAGCATTGTGAGAAAATATCCATAACACAAAATTGCGTATCCAAATTCAATTTTAAAGTCCATAGCAAGGAAGATCAATAGGATTATAAATGTCATCTTGATGGTGTTGTCAAATTTCACCTTGAGAAAATATAAATAAAAGAATGACCAAATGACTGATAACAAAAACAAAAAATATGCCACAAAAGTAGATAAAAATGTGACACAAAAGCAAAATTATTCTTATTAAAAATTAAAAAGAAAAAAAGAAAAAAAGAAACGGTGAAGTACAATTAACATTAACACGACTATCACCGTCGATTAAATAAAGTCAAATAGAAAAATTAATTTAATATGTAGAGAACGTCATAAACTCTATAAAAAAAAAAGGAAGGAGAGTGACTAAGGTTTACTCCGTGTAGTTAAAGAAAGGATTTTAACTATGAGAAAATAACATATATATATATATATATTTTTGTCCTTGTTAGTATAATTGCTAAAAACAAGGTATTTTTAAAGAGCAAAATCATACATGGATTAGGATTGATTGATACTTTTAATGGTTTTTTAAAATTTAGATGAGTAAAAATGAATGTTTTAGATTAATAATTAAAATAAAAAAATACGAAAAAAATAAATTAACCTTAATTTATAGTTAATCATTAACCATTGACCCTGACGATAGGAGTGTAAATGAACATAGCGTTCTGTGAGTTGTTTGTGAATCATTCATATAACGTTTGTTTATGTTTGTTTGTTAAGCTAAATAAACGAACATGAACAAAAAAAATTATGTTCATTTAATAAACGAACAAACGTGGACAAAGGTGTTTTTGGTTTGTTTATGTTCACAAACAACTTCGTTTATAAACTCGTTATAAGCTTGTTTATGAGCTCGTTCATTTATATTAATGAACAAACCCTTTAACCCGATTCTCATTTTCCTTTTATTTTTTTACAGTTTAAATATTGGTGAAGATACGAATTAAATATAACACATAATAAAAGTTTCCTTTTAAACTAAGAATTTTAATGAGTTTAAGCATTAGTGGCGTAATTTTTATAATTTTTCTTTAGCTTGCAAATGAAACTAAAAATCGAATATATAAATTAACGATAAACAAACAATAAAACAAAGCTAGACGATCACTAAATGAACACTTAACGAACATATTCATGAACACGTTCGTTAACATATAAACAAATAAGTTTGTGAACATTAAACGAACGATAAACGAACATGTTCATGAACGTGTTCGTTTACGTATAAACGAACATGTTCTCGAACATTAAATGAACATATTCGTGAACAATAAATAAACAAACACGAACACATCAAAAATAAATAAACGAACATGAACACGATATTGAAAATTTAAACGAACACGAATCGAACACAAAAACCTTCAAAAAAGAATAAATGAACACAAACATAACCTTATTCATTCAAACTCGGTTCATTTACACCCCTAGTTGACGATTAATTGTTGATCATTGACCCATGATTCAAATCATTGATTGTTGACTATCGACCTATAAAATTTAAATTATTGATCGTTTAATCATTAATTGTTAGTTGATTTTGATCATAATTTATTAATATAAACTTTTAGATTATAATTTTAAATTATATTTACAAAAATATTTGAAAAATAATATAAACATAACAAAAATCGTCTTCATTATTTTAATATTATGAAACATGTTTATATTTCGAAAACGTAAAATATAGATAGTGTTATTAAAAAAATAAATTATTGATGTAATGAGAAAACACTAAAATTAATAGCTCAAATAAACAGGATAACAAAACTAAAACTTATTCTATTTGAACCTGGCCCAACTTGATCAATGGACAACACTATTCAATTCAGCAAACTTAAAAGCTCCTACAAGTTCAAATTATAGACGATAGCCCTTCTGGACTAGTGAATAGAATCCTCCTTTTTATCCAGAGCCTTGTCCCTCCCCGATTATTTTATATATATATATAAGTTGGCAAGACAAGGATATAATAATTGCTTTAAGCGGGGACTTCCAAGTAGATATTGAACACATATCCAAAAACAACAAATTTAACTCCAAATTAAACAAAAGGGATGAGACGCATTTATAAAATGGTAACAAAGAAATCCATACGCCAAAAAATATGTGGAAGTACATTAAGAGCACAGCACAACAATAGGTCAAAACTACGCAAATCAGTAAAATATAGGTAACCGGCAACTCACCAGCCTGATGCTCGTAAGGCAACGGATACCATTAGATGAACCAACACCAACACAAATAGGTGCATTCTCTCACCCTAGAGTGGAATTAAAACCATTTGCTCCAAACAATAGTACATAGGAAGCTCCCCAAGTTACACGGAACTCGTAAATTCAAACATTTTTCAATCTTTGCTCCTGATCGTGTATGTTCATGCCTTAACTACTCGCTATTGGTTTTAATACCATTCAAACTATGACTTCCTCAAATCAAAGTTTTGAACCAACATGATAGCCTGAGCTTTTCTTCAAAACAACATTTAGGGGGTTGGCATTGCAGCAAAGAACCAAAATTTTTGGAAGTAAACAGGTTTAAGAAAGTGAGGCTACAAATTCCAGCTGACCCAAAAAGCAGCAGTCATATGCCAAGAGGATGAGACTTTGGTCTCTCTTTTTTTTCTCCATCAAGAAGCCAAATGGATTAAGAGAAGCAGAGAGATTCTACAACAATTGACTAAAATAAGCCACATCAGCAGCCACGACAGAAAACGGGGAAAGTATATTCCATCCACAGATAATATAATAGCATGAGATAGTTTAAAACCATAAACTCCTAAATAGGAAAAGCAATTGCATCACTTGCAGAAGGATAAAAACAGCTAAAACAGGATCCGTTAGAGAAAGAACATAAAGAAATCTACCTCACTTGCAATCTCCCTGGTTTTGCAATGCAGCTCAGGGCAACAGCTAGATTAACCTCCCACAGCATGCATCCAAAGTTTCCTTAGCATATGGAAAACCGAGAGACAAGGTTGCCTTTTGTTCCCAACTTGTGGGACGAGGCAGCCACAATGAAACCAAAAGAACTGAGACTACAAAGAGGTTTCCACTAACCACATTCTTTGGGACTAGTAAAAGCCCAAAATCCGTAAATCAAGAAACCAATAGTTCTCTTCATGACTAGTTCCTCTAAATAGTGAGAATTTGGTAGAGATACACAATATTGTCAGGTATCAAGCACATAAAGTCCACAGTAGAAAAGACTTAAAACCGACCGATAGAACATGAGAAATGCTTCAATTTGTCTGCATTGCTTCGGAATGATACTTCTCTAGATCAGCATCGAGATCTTCTGCAGAAACCTTTTCCTCAGGGCCCTTTACCCTTCCACGGCCTCTTCCAAAACCACGACCCCCAATACCACCACGTTGCCGGCCAGATCCCCTGCGTTGGCCACTGCACAATAACCATAACAAGATTAGATTTGTAAGTCAAGCCTATGATAAACCAAAACTCATCGACGAATAAGAGAAAACAAATGTCATGAAACACATTCCCACACAGATCCATTTACATGATAACAAACATATTAGTGCTATACCAATTTGATATAAAGGAAAGGTAACAAGCACATGAAAATACGAATTGTAGCATGTCCTGTTAAGTAAAAATATAGAATACACAGAACAATCACCCAAAATGCTTGTCTGAACATACATCATAACAGAAGATATAATTTTTGAATGACCATTGCAGCCAAACATTCAATTATTTTCTCCAGCTATCATACTTAAATTTCAAATAAATTGATAATTAAGGAGAAAGATCAACCAATAATTAACGTTAAAATTAACATCTCATGGAGATTTAATGCAACTATAGAAATGTTCAGCACACAACCTAACTGGAAAATATAGACAAAACGTGTATGCACTCTGCAAGTGTAAAACATCAAAAACACCAAGGTGACAAATAACAGAACCTAAACTTTTGAAGAAAACAAGGATTTAAACCAATATATGTTAGGCAACTCTAGAAATGTTCAGCACACAACCGAACTGAAAAATATAGACAAAACGTGTATGCACTCAGAAAGTGTAAAACATCAAGGTGACAAATAACAAAACCTAAACTTTTGAAGAAAACAAGGAGTTAAACAAATATATGATTAGGCATACCTTCTAGGGGCTCCGTTTGAATTTCCAAAAGTGTCATTAGAAGCTGGAGGTGCAGCAGGAGTAGAAACATTCGTTCCAACAATCTCAATTTTCATTGGCTTCCCATCGAGCTGAACATTGTTGTATCTCTTGACTGCAGCAAAAGCATCTGTTCGGCGAGAGAAGACAACTTCTGCTGTTCCCTAAGAAAAAGAGCTTTTTTGTTCTAAACTACTGCATGTTACAAAGAATTTCATCGGAAGGACCAGTTTATGCCAAACTCGATTAGATACCTTCGATCTTCCACTCCTATCGTAATGGATTGTACACCGTTTTAGATCACCAACCTCAGAAAATAATTCCTGTATGCAGGAAAAATTGATTAAAAAAACAAAAGCAAAAACTACCAACAACACGACATCGGTCTTTATCAACAGGTTTCTACATGTTCTATTATTCACTGCTAAACTTTATAATTTCAACAAATTTTCAAATAGCTAAGCCAGAAGAATCATCAGGAGCATGAGCATATCTTAAACAAAAATTGAAATGAATACCACCGTTAAAATAATAACAGATCGAGACAGAACAGTAAATCTTATATTAAGAATATAATTAGAAAATAGGAGAATTTTTTTTAAAATAAAGAAAGACCTTAACGTCGTTGTTGGAAACACCGTAATCTAAATTTGAGATGTAGAGTTTCGTTCCGGTTTCAATAGCGGGGGCTCGACCTACTTGTCCCTGGAAAGCAGATCCCTTATCCGAATACATATCGTGCTGCCAGGAAGTCTCTGGTGCCTAAATCAAAGAGAAAACTCGCTTAATTGATAAAAAAGATTCAATCAAAAAACAAAAAGTTATAACCAGATCTATGTTTTTGGCTATTTACCTTAGTTGTGGTATAAGGTGCCGAGCGATTTGCTCTACGGTTAGGAAGGCGGTGGGCAGGTCCTGGCCCGGATCCACGGCCTCGACCTCGGGAGTTTCCGGATCCGGACTTACGGTTGCGCTTGATGAGATCATCTAGCGACATCTCTAAAGCACTTGACATTTTTTAAAATCTTTGATTAGGAGCAAAGAAAAAACCCTAGAAAACCAAAAGATAAATGGAGAGAGAGAGATAGGAATAAAGGAAGAACAGATCGAAGGGGAGATAAGGCTTCCGCCAAATAGAGAACTAAGAATTTATATTTTTTTAGTAAAGTATATAAATGGTCACTATACTTTTCAGATGCTTGCATTTAAGTCTTCTAACTTTTAAAATATGCAATACAGTCACAAAATATTTAGTTCGTTTGCAATATATTCCCAACGTAACGGTCGTTTCACTGCCGTTAGGATAAATTATATAAATGGTCACTGAACATTTTAGGAACTTGTATTTAGGTCCCTCAACTTTTAAAACTTATAACACAATCATCAATTACATTATAAACCCCAAATTCTAAAATACTTCAATTACATTCTAAATCTCAAATTCTAAAATACTTCAATTACATGCCGAACCCCAAACTCATAATCCATTCTCAAAATCTACCATAACAAATTGAACTTTAAACAGCAACCCTAAACCCTTAAAACATACCCATTTAAAAAAATTAACCAACTATAAGTGAATAATAAGTGATTATGTTGGGTTTAGGGTTATGTTGAACATAAATACTCAATTCAGTTTACAAAATATTTGACTCAAAAATTTTTCGATTTGAGTTTATAAAATTTAAATCAAGTCGAATTAAATTGAATTTTTGATTTCTATTTAAATTTAATTATAAATATTTATCATATTATAATATTATTTTATTCTAATTCAGTTCGTTTATAAAATAGTTGACTCGAAATTTTTTTGATTTGAGTTTATAAAATTTAAATCAAGTTGAATTGAATTGAATTTTTGAGTTTCTATTTAAATGTAATTATAAATATTTATAATACTATAATATTATTTGATTCTAATTCAGTTCCGTTTATAAAATAGTTGACTCGAAATTTTTTCGATTTGAGTTTATAAAATTTAAATCAAGTTGAATTGAACTGAATTTTAGAGTTTATGTTTAAATTTAATTATAAATATTTTTAATACTATAATATTATTTGATTCTAATTTAAATAGTTTTTTAACCATATACAATACATATATTTCTTCATATTTTTTCCATATATGATATACATATATCATACAGAGTCAAGGCATTTGACTCAAACTTAAAAATTAATCCACTAATTACTATAAATTTTGAGATATTCGACTTGTATTTTACAACTCGATTTTAACTTGAAATGTTTTTAAGTTGAGTTTATGAAATTAAAAATCAAAGTCAATGTGTATCAAATTTTTTGAATCAATTCAAGTCGAATTTTTTTCTCTCGAATTGAACTGAGTATTGTTCACTTATAGTTGGTTAAATCTAACTTTTAAACCCTAAACCCAACATAATCGCTTATTGTTATGGACCCAAAATAAACTAAATGTTGTTGATTATGTTGGGTTACTTGGTGGGGAAATTTAGAATTAAGGGTTATGTTTTTAGGGGGTTTAGGGTTGTTGCTTCAAGTTCAATTTGTTATGGCATATTTTGAGAATGAATTATGAATTTGGGGTTGGGCATGTAATTGAAGTGTTTTGGAATTTAATGTTTAGAATGTAATTAAAGCATTTTAGAATTTGTTGTTTAGAATATAATTGATGACTGTGTTGCAAGTTTTAAAAGTTGGGGGACCTAAATGCAAGCGCCTGAAAAGTTCAGTGAATTATATAATTTACCCTAACAGAAGTGAAACGGCCGTTACTTTGGGATCATATTATAAACGAACTAAATGTTTGGTGACTGTATTACAAGTTTTAAAAGTTTGGAGACCTAAATGTAGGCATATGAAAAGTTCAGTGATCATTTATATAATTTACCCATTTTTAATAAGCTACTAAAAGATTCGTTTCAAAATAAAAAGCGACGGGGCTTGAGTCCATAAATGTATGAACCAATGGGGTTATATTAGTCTTTATATAACTGATAGGGTAAATTTAGCTTTAGTCACTAGACGTTTAGTATATGTTTATCTTAGTCACCTAATTATAAAAAAATTTAATTTTATCACTGTATTTTTAGCATTTCATTGGGTCTATAACAGCTTGATGACACGACGTTTTCTTATTCATGTGTGAAGTAAAAAACATTTGTTTTGTATTCTTTGGTTTGGCATTTACTTTTATTTGCTTTTCTTGTTTTCTTTTCTTTTCTAATAAAAATTTTAACCTATTTTGCTACAAATAAAACCATTATTTTCATATCTTTTTTAACACTAAAAATTCATGAGATCATCTCTTCATATTTTATCACTTTTATCGTTATTGATTATTCGTTAAAATTTTATATAACTTTAATCTGTAATTTTAAATAAAAAATATTTTGAATTACAATGTATATCCTATTAGTATGGAATTGGAATATATTGTTTTCCTCCACTTTTCTACCGTTGTGATTTGAAGAAGACGTTTCATTATTACAGAATCAAATGAGTCTGAGAATGGATATAATTAACCTTCGGGAAGTTCTGCTGTGCGGCGCCTAAAAAAGGCTAAAAATGACGTGATCGGTTAAACAAGTGGCCGATTATGTTATATTATTTAACCGGAAATATTATCAAACACAATAACATATTAGGTAGCGCTTATATAATAAAATAGGCATTTAACCGAAAATATTATCAAGTACAATAACAAATTAGGTAGCGCTTATATAATGTAATAGGTAGCGCTTATATTGACCCATTTTCTCATAAAACCGGTAAATTTAAATCGGTTACATTATAAATTGACCTATTACATTATAAATATCGGTTTTGATGTTTTCGGGATCGATACAATTTTAAATATATCGACATTTTATGCGTGCAACTCGTTTGTGCTTTATTTTGGAAAAAATTATCGACACATATTTAAAGAGTGGTATCGACACAAATTAAAAAAGTGTCGATACTTTATGTTGATCTATTCTCTCATGAACCCGGTATATTTCTACCGGTTACATTGGAAATTTACCTATTACATTATAATTATCGGTCTCTTTGATTTTGGGATCAATAATTGTTATAAATGTATCGACACAAAATCTAACAGTGTCAATACTTTATGTTAACTTGTTTTATAATTAAACGGTATATGTATACTGGTTACATTGTCAATTTACCTATTACGTTTTAATTATTTGTCATTAAAATAGTCTAATTTTACCACCTACATTGTAATTTTACCTATTACTTTAAAGTTATTGAATTATGTAGTTATTGTACATGTTGTACCCACCCTTCAACTACCACCAATACCACATCCTATTGAAAGCACCACTGAAACATGTTGTTTAATGAACCTTTACTTATATACATCTCCATCAACTACTGTTGGCACCACTGAAATTGCACAACAAAATTTTTGTCATGGATCATACTGATGCAGACAATGTTAAGCCAACCGAGGAATGCCATAAAGTACATAATGTTGATGAATCTGACATATTGGTTGGTAAGCTCTTCTCTTCACGTGATCAAGCTTGGTACTTTTACAAGGAATTCGCACGGGAACATGGGTTTAGTGCACGTCGGTGAACAACACGGCTTGACATGGAAGGGAATGTGAAGACACAAGAATTTTTTTGTTCCAAAGAAGGGTTTCGAGGATCAAAAGTCAATACCGTTGATCGTCAACGTGCTCATACGCCAATCAAGAACATGATGCAGCTAGAATCGACAAATACAAATGATCAGTGGGTTATAAGTAAGTCTTATCTGAAACATAATCATGTATTGTGCACACCTGCTATGACACCATTTATGCGTTCTAACAGAGCTGTAAGTAAGGCTGATATCGATGAGGCAACAACATTGAAAGAGGTCGGTGTTGGCACGTTACAAGTAATGAACTATTTAACACAGCAAGCATGGGGCTATCATAATGTTGGATTTACACATAAAGACCTCTACAATGCACTTCAAAGAGGCAAAGCAAAGGAAATCGTTGATGGGGATGTGAATGCGCTTATTGCTTACTTTGATTATAAGAAACATGATGATCCTGGGTTTTTTGTGACATACTCGGTAGATGAATCAGGGGTGTTGCATAATCTTATTTGGTCGGATTCTACATCGAGATCAGATTACATATGCTTCGGTGATGTAATTGCGTTCGACACAAAGTACAAAGATAATTTGTATGGTCGACCAATTATGCCTATTGTCGGTGCCAATCATCACTATAACACAATTGTGTTTACTACTGCCATAATCGCTGACGAGACGTCCCAATCTTTTGAGTGGCTGCTATAGAAGTTTTTAGAAGCCATGATGAACAAATCGCCTATTTCAGTTGTCACCGATGGGGATAGGGCAATGCAGAGGGCTATAAAATCTCTTATCCCTAATGCTAAGCATATATTATGTTTTTGGCATCTTTCTCGCAATGCACAAGCTAACATTGGTGACCCAAAATTTACAGCATCATTCTCAAAATGCATGGTTTCCTGGTGGATAACCGACGAATTTGATATTCAATGGCGTTCAGTTGTTTCAGAGTTCAACGTCGAAAAGCATCTATGGGTGATTGAGAAGGGAAATACTCAGCACTTATAGGCACAAGCATATCTAACATGTCATTTATTTGCTAATATTCGCTCAACACAAAGGTGCGAGTATGATTGTTTCACTCGCAATTGCACTAAAAAACAAGAAGACATATTTAGATGTTGTTCGTGCAATTGAAGATGGAATTAGTAGAATGCGTCTGAACGAGTTAAAAGCGGATTACTTAAGTTCCCAAACGAAGCCCTTCCATATCACAAAACTGGTTGAATTTGAAAGTCATGCTTCAGAGATTTATACGCACAAATCTTTTCGTGCGTTCCAAGAAAAACTTCAATGGGAGACATTGTATCGGATTCAGGAAGAGATTCAGTCCTTATCAGATGAATGTCAATATTTTTATTTGAAAAAGTACAAAGAAAAAAATAGGACATTTGAAATTAGTTTTGATTCTCGTACAGAAACCCTAAATTTACTCATACAGAAAATTCGAGACAGTTGGACTTCCATGTCGCCATCAACTTCACATTTTGAAGCACTTGGATTACACATATTTGCTCGGGTCTTTGATTAAAAGTAGGTGGAATAAGGATGCGAAGGC